GTTTGGAGAGCTAAAATTTGTGAAGGATGCATCGCTAAAAGTGAAGGCATTGCTGGCAATGGCGTTGTTCTTTGTACTAAGCATAAGGTAGAACACTCTGAGTAAAAAAATGAAAACGATACTTATAACCGCTCCCACCAGCTAAGCACCCTCCCACCCTCAACTAGTGAGGATGGTTTTGTAATATTGATCACAAAACTTTCCTTGTGAAAAATCGGTACTCCGGTAGTGTGTGTACCAGGTTAGGTCATAATTTTATTCCGATTTTCCTTATTTTAGTTCGATTACGAGTTCGGGACTGTCTGTGTTAAACAAGTGAATATACCCCCTGCCCATAGGTTTCAGTCACTCTGGACCAGGGTTTCCAAAACCGGGGTCCTCAAACCCCCTGGGGGTCCGTGACAACTGCACAGGGGGTTCGCAACGATATGAAAATAGTCTGGTGATATTTAATGATTGATTTCAATAAAAAAGTCGTTGCATTTTTTTGGTTGGGCATTGCGGACAAATATCAAATTAAAATTTTATTGCCTTTTGCAACGACCTACATGCGTGAGGCAGCATTTTCACATCTTTTCAATATGATGACAAAATACAGGTCTCGACTTGTCGTAAAATAGGCGAACAAAATTAGTTACCTCCATATTGGTACACACACTTCAGGAGCTACTAGTCAGGTTCGTTATGGTTCAACATTTCCAAACCACACCATGGCGGAGGCATGCAGTTTCACAACATACCATGAATCATATGTTTATTTTTTTTATATACCTGAGCGTTAGAAATGAGCGTTAGAAATGAGCGCTGAGCGTTAGAAATGAGCGCTGAGCGTTAGAAATGCGCTCGTCGCCGCCAGTGGCGCAACCAGGTCGTTTTCAACAGGGGGGTCCGACCCGAATTTACACAGTGCAACCACGACGTAAGTCGCAACACCACTAGGTGTCGCCCCGCTGAAACACGATAAATTGCTCGTGGTTAAAAGGGAAACGCCATCGATTAAATCCCAGCCTTTCGTTTACCTTGCCCTCGTTCATTAACGGCGCTTCGCTATGTCTTGCACCTTGTGGGTAGCAAAACGCCGTTCATTACGGAAAAAAGTAGTTTTCACTGGATTGTTATGACCGTAGAACGACGTTGTTTGAACGTAGAACAGTAATAAAAAAACGAATTTCAAACGGGGGGGACACGACCCCGTAACCCCCCCGCTGGTTGCGCCACTGGCCGCCGCACCTCTGATTACCCTGTGGTTTCGCAGGTTCGAATCCTGTGGATATAATTATGTGTGAGATGATTACCTGACTCCTCTCTGTCGCAGGGTGGTTCACGCTGGTCTGCTACGACTTCTTCTACCATCAAGTCATTGCATCCGAAAAAATATAACTGGCTAACTAATACCATACCAACAAGGACTGGTAACCTGACGAGAGGCCGTGGTTCGCCATATGTTTAAGCCGTCTTATCGACTTTCCTCTCTCCTGGGATAAATATATGAATCAGGGTGGTCCAAACCCAGGCCCGCGGGCCACATGTGGTATCTGTGGCCCGCGTCACATTCGGAGAGTAATCAATAAATCGCATTTTGTGTTGTTTCTTAATAAAATTGCCCAGAAAAATCTTTTGACATATTGTTACATCACTAATGTCACTGAATTGACTAATGTTATGGCTAGCCGAGGCAAATAGCGAAGTTGGATGATGTGCTTGGCAGTCTAAATTATTATCTGGCTTTCTATCTTTTTGGTCGGGAATATATTATGCTAACGATATATGCATCATGGAAAACTAAAAATCGAATGCGGATTCTATTAGCCTGGGATGGCTATGTCTGATAACTATGTGTTTGCACAATAAAAGCGTTTGTTTTGTATTGCACTGTTTATCTATTCTTGGCACTATTGTGGCCCGCAAAAAATAAAAAAAATAAATTTGTGCGGAGAATCCTATCCCTATTCTTTTTATACACATTATAGGATAGAGCTGAGCATTTTCGAGATTATCTGATGATTCCAGAATCGAATCGAATATTTTTTCGAATCGAATCTTGAATACTTGAAAGAGATATTCATATTAATTAATTAATTCATATTAATTGTATGTGACTTTTTATTGCGAAGGCACATAAGTTACTGAAAACATATAATTCATCACTCAGACAGTTCGATGAGTGTTCACATAAGATACATGTTTCATCAATAACTCACTAAAAAGTAAGTCACATGTCAGTATTGCAATATAAAAAAATTGGCTTCAATAAAAAAATTTACCTTGATCCATCCAAATAAAAAACAAGATGGTGACGATTCGAAATTCTCGTGTGAACCAATTGGAATAATTTTCTATCCGATTCGAATATTTGATTTGAAATGCCCAGTCCTAAATATTATTAGAGTTCGGCTAATACCAATTATCCAACCAACCTTGCTATTCTTAGCGGCCTCAAACACCTGTTTTTCTATTTCTTCTGCCGATTTTGGATATGGGTTCGTGTACCGTGAGAATGTTTCTTCCCTGCAGATAAAGAAGAATATACTAAAATAATTTTTTTGATGGGTGAGAAGGCCTTGTATAGGTTTCTCAAACTAAGCTTAAATAATAGTAAGCCACAGAGCAGTTAGATCAGGGGTCTCGAACTTAGTTTAACTAGGGACCACTGGAGGCAGAGTCTGCGACGCATTAGGTTTTCCACAATAAGAGCTTAGTTTAAAAAATTTAAATCTTCTCAAATTTCTTCATTTTTTTAAACAGAAAAGAAGTTAAAAACATAAATGAACATATTAAGACTAAAAAAAAAATAGCTGAAGATGTCAATAAGAATTATTAACAGTTACGAGTAAAATGTCTTTAAATTATTGCAAGTTCGAATCCCATGTGGGAATGTTATGTAAAAGAGGATTGCTGGACTCTGGTAAGATGGTTCATGTAACCGCTGGTTGGTTACGGCTTCCACCATTTATTCCATGCTTCAGAAAACAAGTGACTGGCTAACTAATCCCATTTTCAACTTGGACTGGAGACTGGACGGAAGGCCGTGGTTCGCCATATGACAGTATGATTAATTCCTCCCGTATCAACATGTAAATCCTAAACAGAGTTATTTGCCTAGTTAGGAAGGACTAAAAAGATCTAGGGCACGCAAACAGAGGTAAAAGGGGAAAAAAGTTGGAAACTACTGTAATATGACCTCAAACTGAGTTGTGGGACAATAAATTAATTCAATTCCAAATTAGTTCATATTCCATGCGGGAATAGTTATGTGCAAGAGAATTGCAGAACTCCTTGTCACCCTTGAGCAGTGGTCGGCAACCACCGGGCCGTGGCCCATCGTCGGTCCGCGGACAAGTTAATGCCGGTCCGCATAGAAGTGACACAAAAACAGACAAAGCCTTAATAAAACCTCTACAATCTAACCACAAACCCTACGACTAAAATCAGCCCCTAACAGTAAACCAGGCAAACACAACACCAGGGGTCGGCAAACTGCAGGCCAAAAGAGTCCCGCGAGCTAATTTGTTGCCGCCCTCGAACGACCCGAAATTTAATAATAAAACAAAAGTTGATCCCAAATTTTTTATTGTCCATACACGTATTTCGTACTCGCTTGTCAGACCATCATTTGGACAACAAGTTGCCATAAGAACATCATCTTTCACATTGATAATAAGTAAATAAAAACAATGTATTGTTCGTACTCGCTTGTCAGTCCATCATTTGGACAACAAGTTGCCATAAAAACATCATCTTTCACATTGATAATAAGTAAATAAAAACAATGTATTGTTGGATAACATATATATTAAAAAAAAGGCCACATGCACATCTCATTGGGACAGGCTTTCAACACAGCAATATAATTGCAGCAATGCGAATGTGCTATAATTTGAAGTTTAATAATGTAGCGATTGTTTGAAGGCGGACATATTGCGGCCCGCGCGCTACCGGAAATGTGTATATTTGGCCCGCAAGTACATGAAGTTTGCCGACCACCGCACAACACTTTTGAGCAGCATGTCTGACTTCATAAACAACTGCCATGTAAGTATCTCGCAATAATGCTGGGTCATTTGTTTTCTCTACGCCCGTATAAGAATGTCTCCCATCAGTCCGAATAAGATCTCCCCAACAAAATGATACAGGCATTGTTAACTTTCCCGAAATCTTATTAATGTAAGGCCTGGTTTTCAATATTGATAACTACAAAAACAAAATATCGAAGTAGGCTGGATGTAAGAAACACGGAACGCGTGTCAATGTCGACCATATCTCGAATATTAGAATTGGGAACAATGGCCATCAAACAAATACAGATATCGCATTAAATAGCATCACCGTCGTTTTTAGTATATTGTCAACATAAATTTTCTAACACGTATAATTTATTGCATAGGCTTAGTTCGTTTTTATAAAGGTGGTCCGCCAAAAGTTTGGTCAGGCTTTACCGGTTCGTCACTTGAAAAAGGTTGCCGACCACTGTCCTAGAGCAGTGCTCTACAACCTATTTGTTATAGTGAAACCCCTGATATAATGTTTCGCTTTTTATGGACCTCTATGGAACCCTAGGGTTCCGCGGAACCCCTGTTGAAGAGCACTGCCCTAGAGTGGTTCTTCCTCACAATAAAGTTCATGCCATCGAAAACAAATAACTGGCTAATCATACACCCGACACGCACTAGAGGCCGTAATTCACCATATTATGATCAATCCGTCTTGTCTCCTTTCTTCTCCCCGGGACAAATATGTAAAATCTATCCTATTTATGTATGAATGCGATTGTGGTGCCCGGGGTCTAAACACGAATATTTGAATAACTTACAGTTGTTGGCGGACTCTCTGCCTCAATGCATCAGTGACCATCCAATCCTGCTGAGCTGCCATGATTGTAGAATTCACTCTTTCAGTGACACCTCGAAAGCCTTTTTATAATCCTTTGCAATGGAACATGCTTTATTATATCTAACTAATGTAATATTTTTTATTATAACTCAATTTAATAGAAATTAATCCTGAAATACAAAAATTACAAATTGCTCAAAAATTCTATTCAATAAATAGCATAAATATAAATGTGCGTAAGTTATGATTGAAGGATGCATGTTCACTAAACGATCTAACTACTTCTATTTGGCATGGCACAACAATTTTGCATATGTTATTCCTAATCCCCACCTGGATCTATCTTTCAAAGATTAGGTCACTACCACCTCACAATAACGTCGAAAGTTTGTTAAAGGATAGCTGCGATCACACAAAATGGCATCTTCGCCAACGATGACTAACTCTCTCATATCTGGTTACGACGAGAAAAATAGCTCGGTCAATTTCGGGTGATCGTCTGTGTGTCTTGGATGACAGTTAGTATAGTTTGGAGGGTTTTATTACGTTACTGTGTCATCGCAGTGACGTATTTTTTCAATGACGTAGTCAGGTGGGGGTTAGGAATAACATAATATGTATAAATGGTTATGCCACGCCAAATAGAAGTAGCCTACTTACGTCGTGTTGTGAACATGACCCGATCGAAGAGTACTAGGCTTTTCATGAAAGACAGCACATGGAAGCTAATTATAAATTACAAATGTAATTCTGAAAGATAAAAATTAACCAAACGTTAAAAATGTTGATACGTTGGAAAATAGCTGTAAATGTTAGCATATTGCGAAGCTTGCACACTGAAATAATAAAAAAACAATTTATGAGAAAAACACACTAAACAGTCTTAAATAAATTCCATTACAAATTGATTATGTCTTATTAATAAAAGACATTTTATGTGTCAGTACATGTCAGCTAATTATAAATACCAAATATAATTCTGTAATGTAAAATTACCAAATTATTTAAAACTGTTATATCCTCTGCAAAATAATAAAAATGCTAATACATGGCTTATACATTCATAAGTAAATGTTAGTACATTGGAAAGTTTGAACACTAATAATAAACGCAAAAACTCGGAATAAAAAACACTCAACAATTTTAGGGTTTAGTACGGTACAGTGATATCTTGGTAGTCGAACATAATTCGTTCTGGATTTTTGTTACTGGACGTTTGAGCAAATTTACGGTATGTGGGCTCTATGGAATTTGCTTTTTGTGTGTGATGACGTTGTCAAAAATAGCAGGCCTTGTGGCAGTTTCGCTTCCATGTTAGTCATGAAGATAATCGTACCGGTAGTCTACCGTGACATATTGCATACCGGTGCTACTCTGTTTTGGCCTTCGTTTCCATATATTTGAGTATCATTCTCTTGTTGAATAGTCAAGAGGCAGCCAAAATGCACAGTTTGGGTGACGTCATATCACTAGGCGGCGCTTGGGTGTTCGAGCACCAAATTTCCTCTTGAGCACTTTTGTCTAGAATTTCTTGTTCGACTACCGAATTGTTCGAGTATCGAGTCGTTCCACCAACGTGGTATCACTGTAATAAGATTTTGCCTCAACCTAGCTTGTTGAAGTATAGCAAGCTAGTTACTATACAAATCAGTACAGTGGAAAGCATAAAAAATATTGAAGATGAAACTTTAAAAAATAAATTGAACAATTTCAAGGTCTAGTCTGCGATATTACAATTTAAATCTAACCTTTCACGTACTATTTACATGTGAAAAATAGCAGTACTGACACTTGCTGTTTTGTATGAGATTATTCCGACTGGTTAAGTTGGACGGCAGATGGAATTTCATTTCATTAAGATTTACTTTCCCGTCCGGAAATTCACTCTAAATGATTGGAACAAAAGTCTTGTTTTATCACACTTTTACAAATGTTATTCAGTAGCATTGCTGACTTCGTCATACAAGCAGTTTACAAAGTAATCGTGTGTGAAAGTTTTGAAGCACTCAATACAATCAGTACATATGGATCCACCCACACCAAGGCAGAGCTAAATGAGCTGTAATTAGGTACACAACTACATCAAAAATAACTTTGTAGCTCTCTGGGGAAAATTGCACGAGAAGCACTGTTCATTTTGTCCAAAAAAGAATTGTAGACAACGCAGAAAAGCTTCGGAAATCGATCATAAAACAGGTTCCACACATCTTCTCTGGATTTAAGCATAGTTGCCAAATTCTTATTTTCTTGAAAATGCTCATCAATGTTTCGAATGAATCTAATCAAATCAATTGGACATGAGAGATTATATTTCCTCCCTCTGAAACCCCCATTTGCTATTGATTCGAGTTCAAACAATGCTTCTGGTGTCATACTTAACCGATTTCGTTGTTGAATTAACCAAAGCCAGTCAGGCTTGCTATATTGCTTGCCAATGCTTGGGTGCATAAAAATTGTGCTTTGTCTCTGAATTTCCTTTATGATATGCTCTCCAATACCATCTGCCTTTTTATAAATAATAAAAGGATACAAATACTTCTTCACTTCATTCAAAAAATCCAATTTCTTGTTGCTTGTCCAAAAGTAGGGATGCAATAAAACTTTATCGCCAGTCGGACGAGAATCTGCGTTGAAACTGATCATTTGCTTTATCAAATCCTTTGCCATTTCAGCATTCACACAATTTATCTCATTAAGAGGAGGAACAACCCCATCAATTATCATGGACTTCCATCTGTGTTCTTCATCCCCAAAGACATGCCTACCATCCGACAATGTGAAATAAAACACGAGTCCAGCAGAATAAATGTCCGATTTATAAGACATTGTATTTCCTTTGTAATGCTCTGGTGAACCCCATCCATCAGTGCCAATCTCTCTTCCAGATTTCGAAAATTTGGATTTGTTTGGTATAATCTCCTTACTGAGTCCAAAATCAGCAATTTTTATACTTTTTTTTATCTTGAGAGAGCAAGATATTCTGTGGCTTCAGGTCTCTATGAGCAATCTCATTACTATGAATATGGCGTAGTCCTTGCATTATCTGCTTCAGGACATCTTTTGGGTCCATTCCCAGTGATTTTTTCGATACCAGTTCCCATAGTGTTTCGGTGTCACAAAGCTCAACAACAATATAGATAGACTGTCCCCCAATTCCATCTATTTTGCCCGATTTTCTATAAAGAACTGTGTTAGAATGGCAAACCAGTTTCTGGTTGTTTTCTATTTCTCTATGCAACCTATCTTGATCCATCACATCTAGTAATTTGATTGCAACTTTTTCCAATTTTGGGGAAGCCCCTGCCAAATATCCTTCATAGACTTTGTAGCCTTTTCTTAAAGGTCGCAATTCGTCTAAGAAGACATTTTTGTCAATCTCCTTGCCTGAAAAGTGAGTTGAACAAAAGCCTTTTATACGAAGCCTATCAAGGTTTTTAACTCTAAACTAGATCGTGTACATGCAGCCACTGATATTGAAAGATATGCGAGGAGCGAGTAATCGGCATTGCCTACCCAATTTATTACACGATGGGTGAAGTGATGTCACATGATTTAAACCCGGAATAAGCGTATTCAACTATGCACAGGCATTAGACTTTTATGTTGGGACCCCCGGTTCAAATCCCACGCGTGAAACCTCATCCATGAAGCTTCCAAGTAAAGAGTTTATATTATTCCAATACAAGTAGCTAGTAGAGAGTTTTTCTTGCTATTATAAGATATGTTTACCATATGCTCTTTATTCAATTTTGCTTTTTTGGCACCTTTTAAAAAAAAAATTTCATAAAATTAGTGATACTTACAAATCCTGAGCTTCTCCGAAGTGATTGTGGGTGAAAAACCTCTCGAACTATTCCAGGCGCGAACATCAACGTGATAGTATTTAGTAGGATTAGGTGATTCAATTTTAAAGTATGGCTCCTCCATTTGAAACAGATCACCAAGTATTTCGTCGTCACAATAAGTTTTAACTTCGAAAAAGTCCGCGAAACCTTGACATTCCCATGTAGTTGCAATGTCACACGACTCTCTACTGATGTTGATATTGTCAACTCTCGGCTGCAAGTATAGAACATATGATGTTCAAATATGATTTGATTATCTATAAACTAACTTCTAAACAAGCTTCGTATATATCAGAAGTCAATAGTCTTCCAGAATAACCAGTAGAGTAGCCAAAAATTTTCAAAGGGGGGGTTCTGGAATTTCTGCTTGCCAAGTTAGATCGAAACAGCTAGCTAGCGGGTTCCATGAGTCTCGAGACTTTAAAAAGCGTTTCAAGCTACAAAAAATTGCTATGTACAAAACAGAAAGGTGCTTTTATTTTTTTTACATTTCAAAAGAGGGTGGGGGGGTGGTTCGACCCCCAAATCCACCCCCCTGGCTCCGCCCCTGAGAATAACCAATATCTTTCAAATCTTGCCAGTAAAATCATGAACATTGGTTTGGTTTGACTCCAACATAAATCAAGGGTTTTAAGACAAAACAGCAAATGCCAAGATTTTGAAAAAGTTTTTTCTAAAAACACTTAGAAGGATTAGTGCTCTTTAAGGCGATATCTAAAGATACTTTGGAACTATACTTGAACGAATTATTTCAATGAAATGTAAGGTTTGAAAATCTAACATATTTTTTTCTCATTTTCTCGAAACAGCATTTTTGAGTTCGTCGAATCCTGCCTGGCACAAACCATTTTTAGACCACAAATTCACGTCCACCACAATTTTATTTGTAACTGATGTAGTAATCGGTAGAGTTTCTGTGTGACCAACTAGATTTAATGCAACAAAGCTGTTGCAAAAGCGAAGAAAACTATTTCAAGTGATTCAATAGTCTTGCTGCACACTAACACGGAAAAATCTTCTGGTCGGACAAAAGATTACAGAAATATATTTGTGTTAGTGTTCAGTAAGACTCTTGTATTACTTATAGTAATCATAAATTTTAAAATATCAGATACATCTGTACAGCTAAAAAGCATACAGATATCCACAATAGGGCCACAAATATTCCTCAGAGGTTGGCAGTTTATTATGGCAGTTTTATTGCCTGATCAAAAGCCAAAACATTGCCCATACCGATCAGAAATGTTTACAAAAATTCAAATTGATGCTTTTCAAAAGTGATTTTATTAAATTTTATTTGAAGAAACGAAATTACTGTTTTTCATTATACTTGACCACTTTCATTTAACAACATTATAAAATCTATGCCAATATTTATGCAATTTGCTTAGTATAGGGTGACCAAACAAAAACAGAATCCAGGTCATTGGAACATATACTAGAGAGAACATAAATTCTGTACAAAGCGTCCTTGATTACTGAAACTTTTGGGTTCAATCATACACAAACAGAAGTTCAAGCGATAAATTAATTATCTTCATTTTCGTAGAAGTACCGTATTTATCCGTGTATAATACTCACCCCCTTATTCTGAACTTGGAAGTTGACCTTGAAAGTACGTATTATACGCGGAGAAATACAGTAATTAGGAAATTAGGGCTTCTGTTTTTTGGGGGTCAACCTGTATTTTGTCAATTAGGTCCGATAAATAGGAAATAAACTTAAGCTTACTTTCAAAGAAGGAATGTTTTCATCAGATTCCGTATCACTGGGTATGACAATCTCAAAAAAAAAAAAAAGATTAAGGTTACAAATTTATATTTTTGATATGGGCGGGCTAAGAATTTCGAAATGGCCGCAAATTTTTGGCATGTTTCAAACATCTTTTTGAAGATTGTAACTAGGGCTGTCCAAGCGAACCAAATATTCGAAATCGAATCGCAAATTATTCGAATCGTTTTTCGGCTAATTTTCGAATCGCTAATATTAGGTACAAAAAGCGGAAAATAATATTGTCATCAAACTAGTTTCGAATTTGTTAAATGCAATTTTGAATTTGAGCAACAGTTTTATCTATATTAAATAATGATTGTTATCATTTTGATGGAATTTATACAAAAAAACATAAGAATAATGATAATAGGATTAAAATAGCATCTACAGGCTTCACATGCCCAATTAAAACTTAATCCATTAGAATTGAAAGTGCAATTTTTACTCTCAACACTCAACAGTTTTTGAAACCCTAATTTCGGAGTCCTTCAATTTTTTTGACCGGTTCATACAAGCGTGTGGACTCCTTTCATAAATCGCAAAATACCAGCAGTAAGTCAGATGCAACACCATTGAAGGGCAGTCGTTTATTGTATAATAGAGACAGATTTAGGATTGCGCAATAATATTCGATTATTCGGTTCGATTCGGCGAAAATATTCGATTCAATTCGAATCAAAAAATTATTCGATTTTGGACAGCCCTAATTGTAACCAAACAAAGATCCATACATCTATTACGTGAGAAATATTTTTTATGTCAGGTGTATATATAGGCCACTGTGAGTGATTAAGCCAAGATTATGGAGTCGGCAAATACGTACACCCAACTGTGGTCATTAAAAAAAATTTCGACTTTGGCTGCAGAAACCAAATAAAGTGATCACAAAGTCATTTCTTAATTGCCACTTGAGAATGATTAGTCAATCTAATCCAGTCTTCAAGTTTTTATACGGAATTTTCAACTTTGCTCAGCGCCATAAAAGTTTGGAATGCAGACTATGGCAAAATCAGTGTCTCCCGGCACTGGAAGAGGTTGCTTCCAACTCTAGGCTGAAAGCGAATGCCTAGAAGCACTGCAATTATTATTTTTCGTTAAAAAGTTTAGAAGTATCTTAATAAAAGTGTACAGAATTTTATTTTTCTTAGGAAAAATTTGACACATATTTGCCTCTAAGGAATCCTACTCACAGAAACCCTATTTAAAGAGTAACAAGTTTTATGCAAAGACTCATTCTGAGTAATAAAAATGCGCATGCGCAGGAAATACAAGATATGCTTACCATAGGTGAAGTTTCATCTTGGTTGTCTTTGATGGACTCTTTAATCTCTATAACAAATGTTGAGAAATTAATCCATCGATGAGTACATAGGTTTGTATAAATGTATTGAATTGAATGTTCTCACGAAGTATGTGAACCATGATGGTGGACACCGGAACGTAGTATGTGTACCATGTTAGGCCATAATTTCAGGTACAAATACTACAGGAGTCCCTTGGCTAGTCCCCGAACTCGTAATCAGGAAAATTGGAATAAAATTATGGCCTAACCCTAACCTGGTACATACACTATGTTCCGGTTCCACCATCTTGGTTCACTTACTTTGGAAGTATTGACAGATTGACAATATTCTGAACCTCAATAATGAGTTTATAAATGTCTAATTTTTTTTGTCAAAAACAACAATAATTGAGCCAAGCAATCCACGGGTGCTTTTAGGGTGGCATGGTAAATCTCAGTCGCAAAATCCAACATAATGCATATTTCCGCGTACACCTCCCCACTAACTATACTTTCCAAAATTAGAGAATGAGTATTATGCATTAGCATAATTCTTTTGAAGTCATGGGCTAATGTTTGTTACAAGAAAAAGGGCATGCTAATGGAAGGTAGAAGCATATCTATTCCAGTCAACAAAAAATAACCGTAATATAATGGTTTTAGCAACCATTCCCAACATCTCATTAACTCAAATGTTAATTAAAATGTACTACATGCATTTACAGGATACCGCTTTGATATCGGCGATAGATTCCAAAATATTAGTTTGTTAATCTTAATTGCTATTATACCTGTTGCCGGGGCATAGCTGCTCGTTCTGTTGGTTAAATCGCCGAATACATTTCTTACCACTGACCTAAAATGATAAAATTTGAAAGTTTCATGTTTAAAAATCATTTGTGGCAAAAATCAAGCTTCACTGCCACTGAAGGTAGAGATTGGGGGTCTCATGTAGTTTCGTACCTAACATACTTCTGGTGGGCGTAAAATAACAATATTTGCATGTGTCAATCCTAACCCCCACCTGACTACACATCCAAAAATTACGTCTCTACGACGTCACAGTGACGTAATAGAGCTCCTTAGACTATACGAACTGTCATCCGAGACGCGCTCGTCTGCGCACCCGAAATCGAACGACTATTTCTCTCGTTTTTTTTGTCACGACGATCCAATATGAGAGAGATCGCTGACATTAGTAAGTTCTTTGTCGCCGGCGCCGATGCCATTTCGGGTGATCGTACGTATATTTGGCAAGCTCTGTGACGTGATTGTGATGTCGTAGTGACGTAATTTTCGATTGACATAGTCAGGTGGGGGTTATGATTAATATGTCAAAAAGTGTGATGCTACGCCCACTAGAAGTATGTTAGATACAAAAATACACGAGACCCGAGATTGGGAGGACTTTGGTGATTTTTGCAGGAAATACGGGGCTAGTTCACTAAACACCGTCAAGTATTTCTAGTTAGCGTGGCATACCCAGTTTCGCATGTCTTTTCCAACCCCCACGTGACTACGTCATATAATAATTACGTCCTTACAACCTCACAGTGACTAAATAAGGCCCGTCAAAGTATACGGATTGTAATCTAAAACGCATAGACGATCACCCGAAATCAAGCAGGCTATTTCTCGTCGTAACGTTCCCAATATGACAGGTATCGCTGAGTTCGTCAACGTCGGCGGTGATGCCATTTCGGGCAATCGTAGCTTTTCTTTGTCAACATCTATGACGTGATTGCGACTTTTTTCAATGACGTAGTCAGGTGGAGGTTAGGAATAACATATGCAAAAATGTTTATGCCACGCCAACTAGAAGTACTTACGCCGTTTAGTGAACATGCGCTGGCAATATAGTTTTATTATGAAACTTCATGCAATAGGCAACCTGCAAAATTTTGGACACCTCAAAGCTAGCACATAAGAAACATCGCTTATTATTCATTACAAGAATTCACAAATTCAGGTGGAACTAGTGTAATAAGGCAATACACACACTCACCCTTTATCCTCTATTGACAACGTCCTAATCCTCTGAGAAGGACTAAATCGTTGTGTTGAAGGGGAGTCTGGAAGCTTTCGTTTTTGAGAACTCATTTCTACTTCTGTAGTCTTATTATTTTATTAACATTGAAATGTAAATAGCTGAAAATGTAACAAAGAACTAGTTCAGCGTTAGGGATAAAAATCATATGGGCTTTTCACATTTAAACCAGTGTAAAAAGCAGATAAAGCAAACCTCTAGTACAACAGCTACCAGCCAGTGTCCCGTATAGTAATAACTCAACAGTAACATTGACTTTTCAGTCCACATACTTCTCGTAACATAAGGTGGCGAATGATGGTTTGAATTAGGAGTTTGATTTCCAGGCACCTTGGCAGTTGTTCAAACATAATAATATACAAATACACTGCAAATATAGTACCTTTGGGCATAGTTACGGATATGGCTTTGTATAATTGCAGTGTTACAGTGCTGCAGGTTACAACTATAATGGTATATGTCACAATTTGCCGACTTTTCTGCCCCATGAACGTTTTCCCCCACGCACTATTTCGATAACTAGGTGGCATCCCAAAAATAAATGACATATGAATAGCCTTCCAACATAACTCCTTATACTTATTACTTATCGATTTTAATCGGTGAGTATGTTGATAGGTATTTGTCTGTATGTTTGTCTGTTAGATGCACGCGATATCTCACGAAAGCGAGATTGAATCTGCTCCAGATTTTGCATGTGCATTCATCTTATCTCGGACCAGAAGTCTATTGATTTTGGCCGAATTATGTCGTATAAATAGCGAGTTATCAATCAATTATTGATATAGTGATCTAGATTTTTGTAAAGCGAGAGAATTTTGAGACCCGCCGAATGTGTGTGTGCGATGCGCAGTGCGCAAGTTACAAGAGCGGATGAATCGAAACTGCAGTTTCTGTTTTGGGGGATCCCCTAACTATCGATCGATAAGTCTTCGGTTTCCAACCGATATTCTCGTTTCCTATGTTAGTTTTCCATATTTTGTTCCAATTACTGAATTAACTGATTGATGGACTTGGTTAGTTAAATATATCCCTAACTGTTATTATTTTTGCTTGGACCCGACTTAATTTTGCAGTTAGTTCAGTTTTATTTATCTAAGATTAATTGATTGTGCCAAATAAATTCCTGTGATATTTCTGCATAGTTTTGTCAGTTTGTGGTTGATTTCATTCTAATTTAACTTTTTTGAATGAATTAATATGGGTCTTACTACTTACTGAATAGAGCGCAGTAGAGCGCAGAAGAGAGGGAAAGAGCGCGAAACAGCGCAGAAGAGATGGAAACATTTTTCTTTCATAATTTATTAGTGTCTGTGAAATTTTAAACAATTTGATAGGAAACAGTATACTATGGTAGGGAATGATCACGAGTTTATATCAGTAATCTTCAACATCTTTAAATACCCAAACATGACGCACCCTAACCTGGTACACATACTGTGTCCAGGTTGTGCGTCATCTTAGTGCACATACTTCATGACGCACCCAAAGAGCGTCATCTTGGTGCACATACTTCCTGACGCACCCTAACCTGGTACACATACTGTGTTCAGGTTGTGCGCCATCTTGGTGCACATACCTCTGGAGTTCCAAAATTTCTTTGATTTTGCTTATTGGTGTGCTCATATTACGTCATGTGAGGTTATTTAAAGATGTTAAAGATTACTGATATAAACTCGTGATCATTCCCTACTACTGCATACTGTTTGCCATCAAATTGTTTAAAAATTCACGGACGCTAATAAATAATGAAAGAAAAATGTTTCCCTCTCTTCTGCGCTGTTTTGCGCTCTTTCCATCTCTTCTGCGCTGTTTTGCGCTCTTTCCATCTCTTCTGCGCTCTATTCAGTAAGTAGTAAGACCGAATTAACATTACTGGTATAATATTTTGGAATATTTATATTAGTTTCCAATTTAAAATTAAAATGTAAACATTCTAAATTAACTTTTGACTACACTTCAAAATAATTATTCACATAGAATTTTGGGGTCTCATGTAGTTTCGTACCTAACATACTTCTGGTGGGCGTAGAATAACAATATTTGCATGTGTCAATTCTAACCCCAACCTGACTACGCCATACAAAAATTACGCCTCTACGACGTCACAGTGACGTAATAGAGCCCCTTAAACTATACGAACTGTCATCCGAGACGCGCTCGTCTGCGCACCCAAAATCGAACGACTATTCCTCTCGTTTTTTTTCGTCGCGACAATCCAGTATGAGAGTGATCGCTGACGTTAGTAAGTTCTTTATCGTCGGCGCCGATGCCATTTCGGGTGATCGTACGTATATTTGGCAAGCTCTGTGACGTGATTGTGATGTCGTAGTGACATAATTTTTGGATGGCATAGTCAGGTGGGGGTTAGGATTGATATGTCAGAAAATTGTTATTCTTCGCCCACTAGAAGTATGTTAGGTACGAAATTACACGAGACCCGAATTTTGCTCAATCAGCCCGAAGACTCATATCTGCATATCCCCCTCAAGCAATTTTAAAATTCCCCTTCAATATGTTCACTACAACCTGACAATTGATATTCCTACTGACCATTTGAGCTTTTTCATTCCAAATAAATTTCCAAAAAATTGTTTCTAATTTCTGAATATATTTTTCTGGCATAAATTTAAAACTGACCATGTATTACAATTTTGATAGTGGCAATGTTTTTGCTATAAAAATTCTTCGTACAATGGTTAGATTCCACCCCTTCTGCCCTCACAGAGATTTACAATTTTTTGAATTTTTGCCAAAATGTTTAGCCAGTTTTTATCCCTATACTGGTACTTGTGGGAATTTCCCATTCCGGTGCCGGTATATACTCCTAATAATTTAATCTCCTTGAGGAGATTGAGCACGTTTTACAGTTATGCCCTGACATGCAGACATGTTTCATTAAAGGATAAGGGCAAGGATAAGATTTACATATTTATCCCGGGGGAGAGGAAAGCCGATAAGACGGCTTATCCATATGGCGAACCACGGCCTCTCGTCCGGTTACCATTCCTTTTTTTTTTTTTTTTTTGATATAAAAATTAGACAGAGAATATGTTACCATTCCAAGTCCTGAAGTCGGGTATGGCCCATGGGGATTAGTTATATTGTTTGTTTTCGGAAGCATGGACTTGGTGGTGGAGGAAGCCGTAACCGACCAGCGGTTAGGTGAACCACCCAACGACGGCGAGGAGTCCAACAATCCTCTCGCACATAACCATCCCTGCATGGGATTCGAACCTGCGAACCCGTGCAGAGTATTTACGAGAGGCCGTGGTTCGCCATATGATTAAGCCTTCTTATCGGCTTTCCTCTCCCCTGGGATAAATATGTAAATCCTATCGACCTATCCTATCGTGCGGGGTGCGGTGGCGAGCGTATTCCTAACGCAGCAACGCTTAGCCCGTTGAGCCACACCGCCGCGCGGCCAACTTCGAGCGGTTCCACATAGAAACAATGTACGGTATACCGGTACTTGTTCCTACTTTTTTTTTTTTTTTTTGTGCCAAATAAATTCCAATGCCAAGCGGAATTTTCGTACTAATAGTTTGTTCCAGCCGGTCCAGCAGTCGCGGTACTTTGAATGTTTGGATGCATTTGTTCCGTATTGGATGTTTCCCGACCCTTGACCCCGAGGGAATATCTCCTCACTGTACAGTATTTATTGGACACGTTAGTGGACATAACGATCGTTTTGGTATTTTTGTTGTTCTTGTTCTTATTTGTCTTCTTCTTGGTATCGTTATGAAAAAATCGCTTTTCTCGTTGATTACTGGACCAATTGCTTTGAAATTTTCAGTGAGTAAAGATTATATTTTTCCCCAGAAGGCTATTACTTTTATTTATTCTTAAATTTTATATGAATCCTATGAGATATGATATTTCATACAAAATTTCGCGGTATTTATTTTTACTCATGGGAACACTGTTTTACACTTATTTCAAGCGCTTTCGCGATCGATTGTCTTGCTCAGTACTACAGCTACTGTAGGTCGGTACTGGTAAGTTGCCATACCGGTACCGTAACGCAGTGAAATTGACTTATTCCTTCCGCGGTATTACTAATGCTGCAATGCAAGTTTTATAGCCTATCGTATGCGGAACGGAATATCAGACCTACAGGTTCGGTACCGGTACTGGTAGCTCAGTACGTAAGTACGATACTGGTACTGGTGCCGGTACCGGTGTCTTACCACAATGAAATTACCGTAACTTATTCTTTCACGGTCCTACCAGTGCAGTAATGCAAGCGTTGTAGCACTTGTAGCCTACTATATTTGTTTATTTTGATGAGAGTCTACTGGAAACAACATAAAATTTGAAAGGGAAGAATTGTTCTGTGATCAATTATCTGTCCTAAAGTGTAAACAACATAAAATTTGCAAGGGAACAACTGTTCTGTGATCAATTACCGTATATGGCCTACAGTGTACAGGTAAGATGCTGGCTGACTGCTAACTCAGTACCGCACCTACGTTAGGTACCGGTACCGCCGTGAATTCAGCTCTCATCTCTTTGCTTTTTGTTACAGTTCTACTGAAAACAACGTAAAATTTGCAAGGGAAGAACTGTTCTGTGATCAATTATATGGCCTACAGTGTACAGGTAAGATGCTGGCTGACTGCTAACTCAGTAGCGTGCCTACATTAGGTACCGCAGTGAATTTCGCTCTCACCTTTTTGTTTTTTATTACAGTTCTACTGAAAACAACATAAAATTTGCAAGGGAAGAACTGTTCTGCGATAAATTATTGTTATTTGTCTCCATCATTTTTAAAAAAATCGCTTTTCTCTTCGAATACTGGACCAATTGCTTTAAAATTTTCAGTGGTTGAAGATAAAATTTTTCCCCAGAAGGCTATTACTTTTATTTATTCTTAAATTTTATATGAATCCTATGAGATATGATATTTCATACAAAATTTCGCGGTATTTATTTTTACTCATGGGAACACTGTTTTACACTTATTTCAAGCGCTTTCGCGATCGATTGTCTTGCTCAGTACTACAGCTACTGTAGGTCGGTACTGGTAAGTTGCCATACCGGTACCGTAACGCAGTGAAATTGACTTATTCCTTCCGCGGTATTACTAATGCTGCAATGCAAGTTTTATAGCCTATCGTATGCGGAACGGAATATCAGACCTACAGGTTCGGTACCGGTACTGGTAGCTCAGTACGTAAGTACGATACTGGTACTGGTGCCGGTACCGGTGTCTTACCACAATGAAATTACCGTAACTTATTCTTTCACGGTCCTACCAGTGCAGTAATGCAAGCGTTGTAGCACTTGTAGCCTACTATATTTGTTTATTTTGATGAGAGTCTACTGGAAACAACATAAAATTTGAAAGGGAAGAATTGTTCTGTGATCAATTATCTGTCCTAAAGTGTAAACAACATAAAATTTGCAAGGGAACAACTGTTCTGTGATCAATTACCGTATATGGCCTACAGTGTACAGGTAAGATGCTGGCTGACTGCTAACTCAGTACCGCACCTACGTTAGGTACCGGTACCGCCGTGAATTCAGCTCTCATCTCTTTGCTTTTTGTTACAGTTCTACTGAAAACAACGTAAAATTTGCAAGGGAAGAACTGTTCTGTGATCAATTATATGGCCTACAGTGTACAGGTAAGATGCTGGCTGACTGCTAACTCAGTAGCGTGCCTACATTAGGTACCGCAGTGAATTTCGCTCTCACCTTTTGTTTTTATTACAGTTCTACTGAAAACAACATAAAATTTGCAAGGGAAGAACTGTTCTGCGATAAATTATTGTTATTTGTCTCCATCATTTTTAAAAAAATCGCTTTTCTCTTCGAATACTGGACCAATTGCTTTAAAATTTTCAGTGGTTGAAGATAAAATTTTTCCCCAGAAGGCTATTACTTTTATTCATTTTAAATATTTCTGATAGCTCTGTGAGATTTGTTTTTGTTCGCTATGACGTCATTAAACGTTCAGCGGACATCGGACGCCATTTTGTGTCCTACTGTGCTGCTTCGCTTGGTGTGAATATATTTGTAGACTGTGATCTGACGGTACGGTAAACCGTACTGTACTGCGATAGACGTGTCCATATATTTGGGCGTAGCTCTCTTGTTTATTTTGGGGGTGAGGGTGTTTTACGAGCTTGCACTGACAAATTGAATTCAATGCAGAGATAGTTATGCGCAAGCGGATTTCAGACTCATCGCTGGTCCTCCACCATCACGTCCATGCATCTAAAAATGAAATAACTAATCCCATACTGGGCATGAACTGGCAGCCGGACTAGACGCCGGACGTGGTTCGTCGCATGATTGAGCCGTCTTAACGGTTTTTTCCCGCAGTTTTTTTTATTTTTATTTTTTTTCGGATCACAACAACATTACTGGAATTCAGCCCAACGCCTTCATGCCCAGTAGACGTCAACGAAAGTTTTAGTTCATCACCACAGATCACCATCACCCTAAAAAAGGTCCATATACCTAAAAAGTATATCTACCACATGTTGTGGAAAGTGCAACAGCATACGGCTAAAACCGCCGACGGTCGACTGATCTTGGCCTTTATGATTGAAATAAACTACCATTTGTAGTACTAAAACTGTATTTCTGACATTGTTAAGAGATTTATTGTAATTATATATTCAAAACAAGAGAGCTATGCTCAAATATATGGACACGTAGAGTCACATAATTTTGATGACGTCATAGCGAAAAAAAAAGTAATAGCCTTCTGGAGAAAATTTTTATCTTTAACCACTAAAAATTTCAAAGCAATTGGTCCAGTATTCGAAGAGAAAAGCGACTTTTAAAAACGTGTCAAGCGGTACTGAGTTAGCAGTCAGGCAGCATCTTACCTGTACACTGTAGGCCATACACGGTAATTGATCACAGAACAGTTGTTCCCTTGCAAATTTTATGTTGTTTACACTTTAGGACAGATAATTGATCACAGAACAATTCTTCCCTTTCAAATTTTATGTTGTTTCCAGTAGACTCTCATCAAAATAAACAAATATAGTAGGCTACAAGTGCTACAACGCTTGCATTACTGCACTGGTAGGACCGTGAAAGAATTAGTTACGGTAATTTCATTGTGGTAAGACACCGGTACCGGCACCAGTACCATACTTACGTACTGAGCTACCAGTACCGGTTAGCAGTCAGCCAGCATCTTACCTGTACACTGTAGGCCATATACGGTAATTGATCACAGAACAGTTGTTCCCTTGCAAATTTTATGTTGTTTACACTTTAGGACAGATAATTGATCACAGAACAATTCTTCCCTTTCAAATTTTATGTTGTTTCCAGTAGACTCTCATCAAAATAAACAAATATAGTAGGCTACAAGTGCTACAACGCTTGCATTACTGCACTGGTAGGACCGTGAAAGAATAAGTTACGGTAATTTCATTGTGGTAAGACACCGGTACCACCGTACCGGCACCAGTACCAGTATCGTACTTACGTACTGAGCTACCAGTACCGGTACCGAACCTGTAGGTCTGATATTCCGTTCCGCATACGATAGGCTATAAAACTTGCATTGCAGCATTAGTAATACCGCGGAAGGAATAAGTCAATTTCACTGCGTTACGGTACCTGTATGGCAACTTACCAGTACCGACCTACAGTAGCTGTAGTACTGAGCAAGACAATCGATCGCGAAACCGCTTGAAATAAGTGTAAAACAGTGTTCCCATGAGTAAAAATAAATACCGCGAAATTTTGTATGAAATATCATATCTCATAGGATTCATATAAAATTTAAGAATAAACAAAAATAATAGACTTCTAGCGAAAAAATTAATCTTCAACCACTGAAAATTTCAAAGCAATTGGTCCAGTATTCGAAGAGAAAAGCGACTTTTTAAAAACGTGTCAAAGAACAAGAACAAGAACAACACAAGAGAGCTATGCTCAAATATATGGACACGTAGAGTCACATAATTTTGATGACGTCATAGCGAAAAAAAAAGTAATAGCCTTCTGGAGAAAATTTCAAAGCAATTGGTCCAGTATTCGAAGAGAAAAGCGACTTTTTAAAAACGTGTCAAGCGGTACTGAGTTAGCAGTCAGGCAGCATCTTACCTGTACACTGTAGGCCATATACGGTAATTGATAACAGTTGTTCCCTTGCAAATTTTATGTTGTTTACACTTTAGGACAGATAATTGATCACAGAACAATTCTTCCCTTTCAAATTTTATGTTGTTTCCAGTAGACTCTCATCAAAATAAACAAATATAGTAGGCTACAAGTGCTACAACGCTTGCATTACTGCACTGGTAGGACCGTGAAAGAATAAGTTACGGTAATTTCATTGTGGTAAGACACCGGTACCGGCACCAGTACCAGTATCGTACTTACGTACTGAGCTACCAGTACCGGTTAGCAGTCAGCCAGCATCTTACCTGTACACTGTAGGCCATATACGGTAATTGATCACAGAACAGTTGTTCCCTTGCAAATTTTATGTTGTTTACACTTTAGGACAGATAATTGATCACAGAACAATTCTTCCCTTTCAAATTTTATGTTGTTTCCAGTAGACTCTCATCAAAATAAACAAATATAGTAGGCTACAAGTGCTACAACGCTTGCATTACTGCACTGGTAGGACCGTGAAAGAATAAGTTACGGTAATTTCATTGTGGTAAGACACCGGTACCACCGTACCGGCACCAGTACCAGTATCGTACTTACGTACTGAGCTACCAGTACCGGTACCGAACCTGTAGGTCTGATATTCCGTTCCGCATACGATAGGCTATAAAACTTGCATTGCAGCATTAGTAATACCGCGGAAGGAATAAGTCAATTTCACTGCGTTACGGCCAGTCTGGATTTCATGGCCTTTTTGAACGAGAAATCGGGCGTGCAATCAGAAATTCCCGCGTGCAAATAAGAATTCCTGGCGTGCAATTATAGCTCACGACGTGCAAAACAACTGCACTCGCGTGCAACTGACTTTGACATCAGATACCTCTCAATACATCCGCGTAAAATTACCGGTATCGCATAAAAAATACGTTGAATCAGAGAAAAAATGGACGTTTGACCTTTGACCCCAAACATTATTTCTACAGTTTGTCGCTAATTTTGAGAGTGTTTGTGCGACTTTGGATACCGGTACTGTTCAGTACATCCGCGTAAAATTATTGGATAAAAAAACGTTGAACCAGAGCAAAATGGACATAACTTTGTCATTAATTTTGGTAGTGTTTTTACGTAAAATTAATGGATAAAAAATACGTCAAATTAGAGCAAAATGGACATTTGACCTTTGACCCCAAACATTATTTTCATACTTTGTCACTAATTTTGGGAGTGTTTGAGCAACTTTAGATACCGGTACTGTTCAGTACATTCGTGTAAAATTATTGTATGAAAAATACGTTGAATCAGAGCCGTACTTGACCATTGGTGCGGAGGCGATCTTTTCGTCCATAACTATTCTCACGGGATTCCTATTTCCTTTCATTCAACACAATATGGACCTTTCCCCGAACATCGACTTCCTTGTTTACTTCGTGACATTGGCCAATCAGCAAGATGCAAAAAAGGACGTAACAATGAGAGGAATTTTTCGCGGGTCAAAGATTGGGGAAAGGTCCATGGTCTTTTTGCTTCGCAATATTTCGATCAGACCAAATCTTGCAGGCTGGTATTTGTCGACAATTGTGGAGTTATAATATTTTGGCATCTTTATATTACTGGATTATTGATTTTAAAACCATTCAAACCGATTTACATTGGTGAGCAATTGCAAATTTTCGGCGTGCAAAATTGATTTCGCTCGCGTGCATTTTTGCGGAGCGCTAGCGCCCTCGGGCGTGCACCTGCCATGGAATCCAGTCTGGCGTTACGGTACCTGTATGGCAACTTAACCACTGTGAAGTGACTCTCACGGTGACCTTTGTGTGCAACCAAGCGAAAAGTTCAAATATCATATCAGAATCGGAGGCGGGACTAAATTTCCATACGCAATTAGGAAGCGAATGAATATAAAAATACAAAAATAAAGTTATATACGTTATTTCTGTAAATTGGAACAATAAGTGCGTGCCAAAAAAATGTAAAGTGCGAATCATCAAACAACAGCTTATAAATATGAGTTTTAAACAAAAAAAATGCAGCACGAGTAATTACTTTAAAAGTAAATATCATAAAACATACACTTTTCAAACATTAGTCACATGTCTTTCCGCCCAAGAGGGGCGAGATTTTATTGATTGATATAAAAAAGATTCATACACTCTACACAATACAATTTGAGTCGATGGGTACAAAATTTTAAATTATGTGTAATCCATTGCTGAAAAAAGCCTATTTCGCCTATATCGTCATAGGTGAAAAATCGTAAATTTATGCACTTTTCAAACATTACTCACATGTCTTTCCGCCCAAGAGGGGCGAGATTTTATTGATTGATATAAAAAAGATTCATACACTCTACACAATACAATTTGAGTCGATGGGTACAAAATTTTAAAATTATGTGTAATCCATTGCTGAAAAAAGCCTATTTCGCCTATATTCGTCATAGGTGAAAAATCGTAAATTTATGCACTTTTCAACATTACTCACATGTCTTTCCGCCCAAGAAGGGCGAGATTTTATTGATTGATATAAAAAAA